AAAAAAAAAAAAAAAAAAACTAAAACTAAAAAGAAGTTTTTTTTATTTCAAATTTGGTGAAGAATATCGATGTGACCCCTAGGCGAAAGTTGTTCAGTTTAGTTTTCTGCATAACATAGTTTTTTATTTTCAGATTTTTTTTGTTTTTTTTGTTTTTTTTGTTTTTGTTTTTGCTGGGACCTTCCTTGTTCCTTGCACAGCTGGACCGCCCGGGAAAACAAGGTGACCCGGGTGGGCCGGAGGGTAGCCCAGGTTGTTTTCTTTTTCTTTTTTTCTTTTGTCTTTTTTGTTCTTTCAATGATAAACCGTTGTTTGTACGGGCTGGGCCTCTTGTGCTCCAGTTGTCTGGGATGAACCTGATTGGTTTAAACTTTAAACTTTAAACCTCAATAAACTTAACCATATTCAATATTATTTATTTCCATCATAGGTTCAGACCTAACCATCTGGCCATTTTGGACAACTGGACTGTCACTTGTGCAGAATTCCACCTCCCCTAATTCCCCCCCCCCCGCCCCCTTTTTAAAAAAATGCAACCCCTTATGTTGTAAGCCTGTGCAGGCCTATATGTAGTATAAACCCTATAAAGTGCTATATAGTATAAACCATAATAATCTGGCCTGATGCTTGCACTTAGTTGCAGGTGGTACCAACCACTGTACTCGAGGGTATGCCTTTTGTAAAGGCAAAGCGGGCCGTTGGCTTCTCAAACCGGACAGCCATAGTTAGCAGTCGGGAAAGCTGAAGAAGAAGGAAAGAAAACGTTAATTGCTGTCAAAAATGCCCTAGACAGACAGCCATTGGGTGTGCATGGGACTTGACTGTCATACTGCAGGCTCCAATTAGAAGGGGAACGAGAGCCTTAGAAAATAGAAGTTTAAATTATTATATTTGAGAAAAAAGGGACAAAACAGGACAAAACGTCCTCAATAAAGACGAATAATGATGGAGTTCAACGATTCGTGAGGAAGTTGAGAATCGACAAATGCATCTCAACGAGTCACGATGAAAACCAGAAAAAAATCAAAGTGAAAAAAAGGCAAATAATGGTAAAGTCCAAAAGTAGAAGGAATTTCAGCAAGGCCAAACACATGGCATTGGCTATGAGACGACACAGCCTGTTAGCGCTGACGCGCCTATTGGGCAAAATGCATGAAGTGTTGGCGATGAGATGACCCATCCGATTGAAAACTAGTTTGTGAATGGAGAGAAAAGCCCATCCCTGTGATCTATTATCACTTACAGTGTAATCAGTCAGGGGACTCTGCAGACTGTGGGGGGCTCAGCCTCGTGACGAGGAAACTCCCTTGTTTGTTGTCCTCTTCTCCCTCTCTCTCTGTCTACGGTTCACCGTGCAGTTCTGTTTGGCAATGTATTAATATGTATTTTATTATCCTCTCAACCATCAATCAACCTGTTTGTGAACTCATCCCTCCCCCCCTCCCCCTCCCCCCCTCCCCCCTCTCAATTTGTCTTATGGCTCTGGCAGGGGTCACAAGTCAATGATGATTATCAAGGGAGATCAAGTCGTTGGTGGAATAACTTATCGACCTTACAAGAAGTACGTAGCATTGTTTGTATTGGATGATGGTGGCTTCCAGGCCCTAAAGCCCTGTTAAGAAAAAAAAGAAAGAAAAGAAAAGGAAAAAAAAGGAAGTGGTAGGGCCTTGTTTTTTTCTGGGCCAATCAGTATGACTGTTGAACCATTGTATTGTTAGTTTGTCGTGGGTAGATGAGGAAATAAGCTTATGCTTGCTGTGTATGTGATCGATGGTTCTGGAGTGACGTGTTTTTGTTCTTCCTGCATGTTCCTATCATAATTGTTATAGGCCACCAGAGTGGCCGGGGACCACTTGGAACTTCCCCGGCTGGGCCACCCGGCCCAGTGCAGCCTGGACCCACATGATCTTTTTTTGCTTTATAATGCTTGATTCGGTAAAGAATTTCGGAGTGGCCCTCAGGCAAAAGTTGTTTGACCTATTATTCTGCATAACATAGTTGCAAGGAAAACGAGCGAGAGGCTGACGGCGATATACAGAAATTTAAATTGCAAAATCACGAAGTAGCCCAGACGGTACACCAAGCAGAACACACAGTGCATCGAGATACAGTCAAATTAGAGTAATACATGGAACTCAAATGTCGACATCAACACTCTCTCGCCACATCAACATGGTATATCCAATTCTGCTCTTCCTGATTGGCGTTCAGCGCCCAGCCTATCCTACTCAGCCTACTCTAGTCTACACTACATTCATGCAACAGGATTCACTTCGAGGATGAAGACCAATGTACGTGACGACGTCGCCCATGCAGACTGCCAGCATACACCAGGTACGTATCTCTCTCCTCTCACCTCACCCCTCGACTACCCACAGTGTGCATCCCCGACACCCGAAGACCACATCGCTGACAACCCCTCTGCGCCTAGCAGCCCGGCTATGGCCGCCTAGCGCCCGACCGCTGCAGCGCCCTTCACCTACAGCGCTTGTGCGCGCCCTGGCTGGAGCGAGTGTCCTTGATGCTTGCACGGCAAAGCAGCAGTGCTGCCGCATCTCCTTGCCAGCCAGAATGTATCCTACTGCTAGGCGCTCACTTTCCTTTATGGAAATGCCTTAGGCCTGACAGGGCTTGGCGTGTAGGGGTCCAATCGCTTCACGTCGGCCCGAAGTGTCTGTGCCCAGGGCCATTCAGACAGTTGTCTCGGCCCGCGGCTTCAAGATGCGGCCAACCACCCCACGCTGTCTGTGACGTGTTCCCTGCTTTCTGATAGGCCGAGAGGCCTGCTTCCACGTCGAAGCTTCCAGGAGGAAGCTTCCTCGAAGATTCTGATTCTCACGATCAGGGCATTTGCAACCAACTGGTGCGTGGCAACTGTCTGGCGCCCAACAACACAGAATTGGCAGATTTGGGGCTCCTCGACGATACTCAGGCCGGCCTTCACTTAGGGCGGGTGGCATACTTGCTGGGCCCCCCCTTTAGGCAACTGGAGCCCGCAGCCGTGCGGTCATGTGAGGGCTAAATCCTCGCATAGGTTTCTTTTTGGATTTTTTTTCTTTTCTTTTGTGGGGACCTTGGCCCGATTTCATCATCACCATCAGTACTCTCACCAGTTGACATGACGTCTCCTACTCTCACCAGTTGACATGAGGTCTCCTACTCTCACCAGTTGACATGACGTCTCAAAGGTCCGATTAAGGTGTTCGACTGCACGTACCCCCTATGCTACAGCGTACGAGAAACACCTTTGGCCGGGCCACCTCTGCGATTGCCTCGAGCAACTTTCGCACGTGGTTCGGTAGCTCGGCGAGGATATGCCTGTCCAAGGGTGGTGACAGCCCCTTGGGCGGAGGTAAGTTGTGCCTCGCGTGGCCCTTATCCTGTCGTAGGGGTTCGTGAGAGGTGTGGCTGGCGCACTCAGCTGGAGCGGCGAAAGCTCCACTGTGAAGAAGTCCTGCAAAATCCTGCGCAACGCGGCCGGGAGGGTCCTCCCTGCGGGACCGATGCGCACGACAGCGCTGCTTTGTTAGGTGGCCCAGTGTCGTGTGGGCACGCCAGGAAGGCTATGTGGTGACATTGGGGTGTACAATGGATGATGATAGCTTGTTGACGTCGGATTTAAGCCGAGGTGGAACTGCATTGCATTGTGGGTTGTGCCGAGGCAACGACCGATCATCATAAATGCACGTCATGTCAACTGGTGAGAAATCTGTCGTGGGGGTCAGCATTGTGAGGTACATCGCTCCTTACCTTATCTACCCTCTTCGTTGCTTCTTACCGTGAGGAAGTGAGTTCGGTCTTGACAGTCCTCTCATCGTGAGGTGTCGTGAGCGCAATTGTGAGCGCCCTACCTTGAGAGTCGACATTCTTCCCGGGGAGCATGCTGGTGGGAGAGGGCGTTGCCACCTAAAAGGCCCTGGACGAAGCACTGGGTCATGGTCACCATGCCGCGCAATAGAGGTTGTGTTCGGCAGGCCAGCCCAATGGGAGTAGAGCATGCATGCTTTGCTGCTTTGTCCTTTGTCTGCCTTGCTGCGCAATAGAGATCGGGTTCGGCAGGCCAGCCCTATGCACAATAGTGGTTGCAGTACGTAGCCTGGGAGAGTGGCGAGAAGGGGTTGCCACAGCTGGGTGATTGATCTGGCATGGTGAGGGGAGGAGAGTTTGACTCTGGAGGAGAACTGGATTATGAGACAGAACCACAGTGAAACTCCCCCCCCCCCCCCCCCCCCCCCTTCTATTGGTCATTCTATAATGAGCTGGTCGTTGTGTTGCAGTTCATTCCCTTCTGGTGTTGACACACTGTCATTTGATTCGCTGCTTCATTGATTGATTGGCTGGGATTAAGACCTGGTTGACATGTTTTTTTGGAATTGATTGAAGCTTCGGTTGAAACTTGAAAGGGTTTCACTGCAAATTCAGTTTAATATAATTTTGCGTCTGAATTGTCCACACTCGTACGGTGCACCAATTTCACAAATACATTTGCTTGTGTGTGTGTACTCGGTAACAAATTACTAACAATAGAGAAAAATGGCTTTCCTAAACACCAGGTCTGGCATAGCTGAGAGCGGCGGTTGCAAAGTTGCTTATCATCCTCTCATTCTGATGTTTGCAAAATTAGGCTAACTGTGAAGGGATGGTTGTGACATTGTGAATGCGCGACCCTCAGGTGTGTGATCCTGATGCTACAGGGTGCCAAGTGTGAGATCAGAAATCTGGGCCAGATTCTGTGAACCCGAGTCCTGGAAGATTGAATGTGGACCGCAGAATCTGGGCAGTCCTGAGCCTGGGAGTAGAATCTGGACTGCAGAGTCTGGGGTCGTACGATCTGGACCCTTAGAATCTGGGCTGTAGAATCTGGGCCATAGAATTGGGAGCCCGAGCCTTGAGATCCTGACCCTCTAGAGGACGTGGAGTTCGAGATTGCAAGCCTGCGAACGGCTTCTGTGAAACTGAGGCCTGAGTCTACGGTCTTCCCCCGACTATAACGCACCCTCATCAGGACTGCATCAGAGTGGAAACATAGCTCATATAATATATACATTCATGGTCAGGGTGTGTTCTTTTCGGAAGAAGACGATAGGATAGATGATCAAATCAGCCACCACAGATTCTCGTATATGGAGCATTGAGAGAGCTCACGTCTGGGTTCTCCGCCTCTGCTTGGGGCATGTTCGGACATTGACAGAAAGAGGGTGTATGTACATGGACTGCATCGTATGTTGGATAGGGTGGGAAGCGTTTAGGTGCATGTTTTTTTGGACATTTTGAGGACTAAGAAAAAAACTGTTTTGGTAAATTTGGTTCAGATAAATGGCGGCTGCCAGGGTTGCATACCTGCGAACCGCCGACTGTTTTGCAGCCAACCAGTAGGGCCGACCAGTAGCCGGTCTGCCGACCAGTCAGAAAACAGCCATCCACTGATATTTTTTCAAATCTGAGTTGGGGGCTGTACTGCGATTGCTGAGTACAGCGCGAATCCG